CTATCTTAATGTTATGTGTTCAATATGTGGAGTTTGAATTTGGTATGAGCATATGGAATCACTGGTTCTCGTTCTAAGTAGTAGCATTCCATTCATGAGATCATATACATGTCATTGTCGTAAATCCAGAAAATGCTTTCTTTGATATAACATATGTGAGTGTTAGTCTTCATGTTTAAATCAATCTTCTCACATATACTTAGTGTAGGGTGCGTAGTTAGAAAATCTGTGTGCAAATAGAGAGCATTCTAGTGAGGAATTGAGGGAATTCTCTAAGGCATGTTACTACATTCAAAATGTTGTTTTAATTGATTAAATGTGAACTAGTAAGTGGTAACTATGGTTAAGTGTTTGCTAAAGTGTAAAGAAAGCTAGAAACCGTGGGAATGATGTTCTTTGATATGTCATGTGCATTGGAAATATAGGAGATAGATAGTGTGATCCAGCTGAACAGAAAATATCATTTTTAAGTTCAAAATCATTTCACGTATCTGCCTCACCACAAGTATGATTTGGTTCTCCTGCTGGTATCTGGTAACTTTATCTGCAAAATTGTATCCACCAATGAAACTAAATTTGTATTGACTAAAAGGAGAGGACAAAAGGCTGTCAAGACTAGGATATGACTCACGGGTCACATAATCCAGTCGATTGATTCAGCTTTGCATGGGACAGAAACAACCTGAAGGGCAAGCTTCATTTACAAGAAAAAGTGTTTGGTTTTGCTCACTATCATCAATACATCATACTTTCATATCAGTGAATTATGTGGACTGAGAAAATTTGTCATACAAGTATACTTCTGATTGTAGATCAATAAATTTTTTCCAAATTTTAAATCATAAGCTAACATGTTCATGAGTTTCATCTCGCTAAATAATCAAACAGGTATATTAGCATCCACTGTTACGATGTAATATGATTTTGAACTCAAACAAAGATCATGTGGCAAGACATCTATAGGACCAACACTTCTAGCCCTCTCAAACCAAAAACAAGACTTATTAATTTATGAAGCCCTAAAACCAATCCAAATAAGCATACACCAAACAATCAAATAACATAAGAAATGCCTCAACCTAATCAATTCAATCTTAACTTAACCAGTCCAAAATATGCATCCCATCCTATCCTTCCCACATTTCAACAAGTTACAAAGCACTAATTACAAATGCATATAACGCATAAGTCAAAAGGAGTTGAAATGCTGAAGTTAATAAGAGGTACCAAATCATGCATTTACAATAAATATCACTTAAACTAACAATCAAATAAGGATAATGCGGAAGATCAAAATTTTCAAACTAAATTTATAAACCAAATGATGTGATTGTTGATGATTGGATTATTCCTAGAACACACATGCACTTACAAGCAAAGGAAAAGACTGACAATGGAAACACACCAAATGTAAAAAACATTGCGGAATTGACCGAAGCTCATACCATCGGTCTGCTTAATGCACTCATTCAAGAATTCCAGCCTTCCCGAAAAATTGAATGCTGTATTCCAATCCTCATCCCTGAAAACCAAGAAAAAAAGGAAATCTTATGCTTATGAAACCAGAAAGGTTACAGCAACGAAACAAACCAAAGGGATATTGGGTTTTACTCACAGGTCCTTTATGTAGAAACCCATAGTACTTTTCAGGTTAGTGCTCATATATCTATGTAGACATCGAAATTTAGGTGAAATGAATGTTGACCAATAATTAAAATTTCAACGCTCACGTGTCACATAAATTTTACACGTAGCGTGTGACTCAACGAAAAATCGAAATAAATCGGAAAAGTCATCAAATAGGACACAGGTCAATACCTGACAGAAATGATTTATTTCATCTGATTATTTAAATCCAAAAATCAAGTTTTGGAATTCTATAAATAGGAAGCCAAGGCATTCATTTTGGGAGGGCAATTGATATCACACCAAAACCTTGAAGCTTTGAAACTCTAAAGCTCTCAAGCAAATCCCAAAGGATCAAGAAAGCACTATTTTTCTTCGTCATTTCTTCGTCAAATCCTCCTTCAAGATCAAGCCCCGACGGCCCTTGAAGAACTTTCACCACCAACTCAAGATCAAGCCCTGATGGCCTTTAAAGAAAGTGTTCATCGTTCATCATCCGTTCATCCTAAGATCAAGCCCCAACGGCCATTTAGATCAACAACATCAACAAATCCACACATCCAACCGTTCTTCAAGATCAAGCCCAAAAGCCCTTGAAGATTCGTTCATCACCGTTCTTCAAGATCAAGCCCAAAAGCCCTTGAAGATCCGCTCATCCATCAACCTTCAAGATCAAGCCCAAAAGCCCCTTGAAGACCCATTCATCAACCTTCAAAGATCAAGCCCTGAAGACCCTTGAAGAAACTTCCCTCAACCTTCAAGATCAAGCCCCAACGGCCCTTGAAGAAACTTCAAACCGTTCATCCAAGATCAAGCCTCGACGGCCCTTGGATCAATCGCACATCCACAAGTCAACACCTTACGGAGATCGAATCAGAGGATCTAATTAAAAAGAGATTGTAACTCCAAAATCATTAATACAAAATATTATTTCGTACACGTTTCTTGTTTCAAGAATTTTCATGTTTACAATCTAATGACAATCGAAAGCCAGCTATATATTAGCTGTGTAACCTGAGGAAGCAAAGCATGATTTTTCGTCCTGCTGTAATCATCTCCGTTCACACACCTCGTCGCTAGCAATAAACTCAAAATAACGATAAGAAGCAGAAAAACATGGGGAACCCAACATGCATTAATCCTCATTCCTCTCTTTTCTAGAACTTGAAGCTCCCCATATCACACATTGTAAGAAAACCATCCAGATGCTTCTAACTACTAACATCACACACGAAACATGTTGTAATCGAATTCAGATTCGCAAGCCATCCATGGAAATTGACCATGGAAGCATTGATCACCATTATATGCAAGTGTAAACACCTTCACCAAACGAGCATATCATGCAATGCTGCAACAAATTGCGAACCCAGATGGATGAAAGACGCAAATTTGAGAAATAGGTTGCTGAAAATGGCAATGGGATTGAAATCTGTGCTAAAAATTGTTGGGTTTCATGGACCTAGAAGAAAGAATGGAGTAAATGGGTTGCTTGGAAGTGAAGGAAAAATGGAACGTTGGGAAGTGAGAGAAGTGTAAGAATGGAGGTTGAAGACGAAGGTGGCGGAGGGGGCTCGAGAGTCAGACCCCTCATCAAATAACATAGCATATATTATATTTGCTTCTTAATGTGTGTGTATGAAATAACCCCATAATCTAGTCAGATCCCTTGAACATGGTCTCAATAAAGAGTCGTTCTCTTTAGAAAATGGAAGATAAAAGATTGGGAGAAGTTCGTTTTGGTCTTAAAATCAAAAGAGCAATTGCTTTTACAGTTGAAGCTCAACCTTCTTTTGTCCACGTCCGAAGCCAAACGGGCACACGAGCTCATATGTTTTGTCCGTGTGTTTTGTTTGAATGTTGGCAAAAAAATTCATAATAGCTCTTGATGGAACTTGTTTGAAGCTGCCCGTAATGATTTGGAATGTAGAGAGTATTTATGAGGAGGTATTTTTTAGGTGCGTAGGAAAGAGAGGGGGCTTGGTTTGTTTGTTTTGGTTTTGGTTTTTTGTATTTTATAAATGTCGCATACCTAAACAACTGATCTTAACATTCTTCTTGAGTCTTGTAGTAACAAAAGCAAATCAACTTGTATCTATCTCCTCTGTAATGGGGAATGGGGAATATCAGAACGAGCATAACAATCCTAGAGAAGATGATCGCTACCATTGATACTGTCAAGGTGAAAAGGGCAATTTGTTGGTGGTGTTGTCACATGCATTGTTAGAAATTGCCCACCGGTTCTGTCTCTGTCTCTCTCGTCATGTTAATATTTTCAATCCAATCCTAACCAGTCGAGTTTGTCAACACCAAGCAAACACCGTAAGAAAAGCTCAATCTAACCAATTCGATCTTAACTTAACCAGTCCAAAATATGCAATCCAATCCTATCCGTCCCCACATTTCAACGAGTTACATAACACTAATTAGAAATACATATAATGCATAAGGAAGGAGTTGAAATGTTGAAGTTTATGAGAGGTACCAAATCATACATTTACAATAAATATCACTTATATAGCAAATATAATATTTGCTTCTTAATGTGTGTGTGTGCGTGAAATAACCCCATAATCTAGTCAGATCCCTTGAATATGGTCTCAATGAAGAGTCCTTCTCTTTAGAAAATGGAAGAGAGAAGATTGGGAGGACAAGTTCGTTTTGGTCTCAAAATCAAAGAGCAATTGCTTTTACAGTTGAATCTCAACCTCCTTTCATCCATGTCCGAAGCCTAACGTCCACGTGTTTGTTTTAATTGTTGGCAAAAAAAATCATAGTAGCTTCAATTCACCATATCATTCTTCAGTGGCATTCACTATAATCTCTTGGCTTTTGATTTGGAACTTGTTTGAAGCTGCCCGTAATGATTCGAAATGTAGAGAGTATATACGAGGAGGTATTGTTGAGGTGAGTATGAAATTGAGGGAGCTTGTTTGCATGTAAAAGAAAGGAAGAGATGAAACTGCATTTCTTTACACTTAGGGCAGCTCGAAGAGTAAGATTAGCACAGCATGTTAAATTTTCTTTGGAACAAGTTCTGATAGGATACTGTTGATGATACTTGTACAAGGTTGTGATAGGTTGATATTGTTGGTGACAAGTGTCTGGGAATCATTGATTGAATGTGTGGTTGTTAATTGATGATTAGTTAGGAAAATATCTTGTAACTACCCTAGCTTGCAATCTAGTATAAATACTAGATAATTGTGCAAATGCAGGATGATGAATTGTAACAGAAGTTTGTTAGTAATACAAGAGGAATTATCAGCTTATGAGTAAAGGTTAGAACAAGGGTTCTATTATTGGTATCAGCCAGTAACAGATCTCCACGTTTCCCTTCTTGTATGACGCGCGCATCTACGCGTGCTAACACCATGGATGCACGGGTAACGATTCTTGAAGGCTCCGTCTCGGAAATTCAATCGTCTGTCGCGACGATCAGTTCGACGATGCAGAATCTGTCCAGCGTAATGGCTTCCATGGAGGCCCGATTCGCATCTTTGGAGACTCATTTCAATGGTGCTGATCGCACTCGGCGGGATCAATTTGACCATGGCGATTCTTCCAATCCAATTGGGGGATCCGAAGACACCTTGCCTGATCCGGCGATTCATATGGGTCAGCGTTTTCATCGCCAAGAATCATTTTTTCAGCCCCGACCGCCATTAGTGAAGCTTGAATTTCCACGATTTTCAGATGGTGATGATGCTTTAGCATGGGTCTATCGTGCAGAGCATTATTTTGACTATTTCACCATTGATGATAGGCAGAAGGTGAGAATGGCCTCGTTCCACATGGATAATGAAGCCTTGCAGTGGTTTCAATGGAGAAATTGTATCACGAATTACCCAAAATGGGAGGAGTTTGTTCAGATTTTCTGCAAAGAATTTGGTCCATCAGAGTTTGAGGATTTCACCGAAGCCTTAGTTCAATTGAAGCAGTTGGGTTCTCTCAAAGATTATGTGGTGGAGTTCCGCCGTTTGGCGAATCGCACTAAGGAGATCAGTCCGGTGATGCTGAGAAGCTGTTTCATTGGTGGGTTGAAGTCCGAAGTGCGTCACGACGTCAAATTACTCCGTCCATCTGATGTTCATGAAGCAATTGCCTTGGCTTTTCAAGTGGATGCCAAATTGGCAGACATCAAGGTTCGGAATTTTTCTAAGAACCCAAATTCTTTTTCCAGCAATTTCACAAATCAGAAATCTTCACCTCTGTTAATTAGTCATAGCTCTTCTTCTAGCACAAATTCTAAGCCTAGTAATGTGCGCAAAATGTCTTTTGAAGAACTTCAAGATCGTCGTAAGAAGGGTCTATGCTATTCGTGTCCGGAAAAATGGGTTAGGGGTCATGTTTGTGCGAATCAACAATTGCTGTTATTAGATGTATTGGCTGAACGATCCGTTGATAGGGAAGTCACTGATTGTGAGGATCAAGAAGGTCAACATGTGGAAATCACAGCTTGTGCTGTCTATGGTATTTCGGCCCCTCAACATATCCAAACCATGAAAGTTACTGGTTTAATAAAGAATTGTCCTGTGATTGTCTTGCTTGATTCTGGAAGTTCCCACAATTTTATTAGCCTATCTGTTGCCAAGAAATTAGGCTGGAGTGTTGATGCCAATAAATCTTTTGAGGTCATGATAGCAAATGGGGGTACTATTTCAAGTAAGGGTTGTTGTTCACAGGTCAAATTACAGATTCAACAGTATGAGTATACTTCTGATTTTTATGTGTTACAACTGGGTGGCTGCGATGTTGTTCTTGGAGCACAATGGCTTCGAACTTTAGGTCCTATTCTTTGGGATTTTGACAAATTAAAAATGGAGTTCAGTTTGGGGCAGAAACATTATTGTATTTCCAGTTATCCTCCCCCCTCACCAATGACAGTTTCAGCATGTCAAGTGGAAAGATTGCTTTCTCAGGGTCCTTTTGGTATGATTCTGTTTTTTGTGGAACCGGAGACACAAGTGGCTGTGGTTGGGACTCTTTCTGACCATCAACAAACTGAATTAGATGCCTTACTCTCTCAATTTGCTGCTGTATTCCAGACCCCTACCACTCTGCCCCCTTCACGATCTCATGACCACCGCATTCCATTGTTGGAAGGCAGCAAGCCTACAAGTGCAAGGCCTTATAGATATGGTCCCTTCCAAAAATCGGAGATTGAAAAATGTGTACAAGACTTGCTCGATTCTGGTTTTATTAGAGCTAGCAACAGTCCCTTTTCTTCACCTGTTCTGCTAGTCAAAAAGAAGGACAATAGTTGGCGTATGTGCATGGATTACAGGGCCCTCAATTTGTTGACAATCAAAGATAAGTACCCCATTCCATTGATCGATGAGTTGCTAGATGAATTGTTTGGTGCTCAATTTTTTTCCAAGTTGGATTTAAGAGCCGGGTATCATCAGATCAGGGTTCATCCGAGTGACATTGAAAAGACAGCTTTTCGTACTCATGATGGTCATTACGAATTCCTCGTCATGCCATTTGGACTTACAAATGCCCCGGCTACTTTCCAAAGTTTGATGAATGAGATTTTTCGGCCTTACTTGAGGAAGTTCGTCTTAGTTTTCTTCGACGATATTTTAGTCTATAGTCCTTCTTGGGCAGCTCATTTACACCATTTATCCTTGGTTTTAAGGATTCTTCAGACCCACCAACTCTTTGTGAAGAAGACAAAGTGTGATTTTGGTAAATCCCAAATTGAATATTTAGGTCATGTGGTTTCCAGGGAAGGTGTCGCTGCAGATCCAGCTAAACTTCAGTCCATCCAAGATTGGCCCGTTCCTAAGTCAGTAAAGGCTCTAAGAGGATTTCTTGGCCTTACCGGTTATTATAGGAAGTTTATTCCTAATTATGGGAAAATTTGTGGACCTCTCACTGCGCTTACAAAGAAGGATGCCTTCAAGTAGACTAATGAGGCAGATGTGGCTTTCCAAACTCTCAAGGCTGTTATGGTTTCGCCTCAAGTCCTTGCCTTGCCGGATTTTTCCAAGGCTTTTACCATTGAAACAGATGCTTCCAACACTGGGATTGGTGCTGTTTTACATCAAGATGGTAAGCCTATAGCCTTTACAAGCAAGGTTTTAGGTGCTCGAGCTCAGGCCATGTCTACCTACGAAAGGGAAATGCTAGCTATCGTCCATGCCATCAAGAAATGGCAGTCTTATATTCAGGGAACACACTTTATTATCAAAACTGATCATCACAGTTTGAAGTTCTTTTTACAGAATAGGGCACACACCCCGTTTCAGCAGAAATGGATCTCTAAACTTCTTGGTTTTGATTACGAAATCCAATATAAACAGGGTTGTGACAATGTGGCTGCTGATGCTCTGTCTCGCATGCATTCTGAGGTAGAATTACATGCCATTTCCTATCCTTATATGGGCTGGTTAGATGATATCTGAAGACATGGGGAACAAGATCCTTGGGTTGTCTCTAAGATTCAGGAATTGTTCTCTCCTGGTGCTACAACTTCCCATGATAAGTACCATTTTGACAATGGCTTCCTCCGATACAAGGGACGAATTGTTTTGGGTCCATCGAGTTGCTGGAGGAATAAGGTCTTCTATGAACATCATTGCACTCCGGTGGCAGGACATTCTGGTTTTCTTAAGACCTACAAACGAATTTCCAGATCGTTTTATTGGCAAGGCATGAAATCCGACATTATGCAGTGGGTGGCAGCATGTCAAGTATGTCAACAAAATAAGAATGAGACCATTGCTTCTCCGGGGCTGCTCAATCCTCTCCCTATTCCTTCTACTGTTTGGACAGATATCGCTATGGATTTTATAGTGGGTCTTCCTCCTTGTAAGGGAAAAACTATTATCTTTGTGGTGGTCGATCGTCTTTCGAAGTATGCTCATTTTTTGCCAATGTCTCATCCCTACACTGCTCACTCAGTAGCTCAGTTATTTGTTGACCATATTTTCAAACTTCATGGAATGCCCTCAACAATTGTAAGTGATCGAGATCCTGTTTTTCTCAGCTCCTTTTGGAAGGAATTTTTTACACTACAAGGATCTCAGTTGTGTATGAGCTCTGGTTACCATCCTCAAACAGACGGTCAAACGGAGGTTACTAACAGGGGGTTGGAAACATATTTGAGATGTTTTTGTAGTCATCAACCAAAGAAATGGGTTCCATGGCTTCCTTGGGCGGAATGGCACTACAATACTACTTTCCACACCTCTTCAAAGCTTACACCTTATGAGGTTGTTTATGGTCAACCTCCACCTACTGTGCCTACTTATGAATCAGGAGCAACAAAAATTGATTTGGTTGATCGGAGTTTACAAGAACGAAACAGGATTTTATCCCAGCTTAAAACTAATCTTGTTGCTGCCCAAGTACGCATGAAGCAGCAAGCGGACAAGCATCGCAGTGAAAGATCTTTTGAAGTGGGTGATATGGTATTTCTCAGATTAGTACCTTATCATCATCAATCTCTTGCTAAGCATCCTTTTCACAAACTACAACCGAGGTTTTATGGGCCATTCAAAGTATTACAAAAGGTGGGATCAGTTGCTTACAAGATAGATTTGCCTGCAAATTCCAAACTTCATCCAGTTTTCCATGTGTCTTGCTTAAAAAAGCAATTGGGCACTGGTCTTATCCCTGCAACTCCTTTACCGGTGGTAACCGAGGACGGCATAGTGGAGGACTATCCCATGGCCATCTTACAACAACGGGTGGTCCGCACTGGTACTTCATCTCAAACTCAGGTCTTGGTGCAGTGGAAGCATCATTCCAAGGAAGATGCCACTTGGGAAGACTTTGCGGCATTCAAACAGAGATTTCCTACATTCCAACCTTGAGGACAAGGTTCGTTTTTAAGGGTGGGGTAATGATAGGATACTGTTGATGATACTTGTACAAGGTTGTGATAGGTTGATATTGTTGGTGACAAGTGTCTGGGAATCATTGATTGAATGTGTGGTTGTTAATTGATGATTAGTTAGGAAAATATCTTGTAACTACCCTAGCTTGCAATCTAGTATAAATACTAGATAATTGTGCAGATGCAAGATGATGAATTGTAACAGAAGTTTGTTAGTAATACAAGAGGAATTATCAGCTTATGAGTAAAGGTTAGAACAAGGGTTCTATTAAGTTCAAATCCAAGGAACCATGCAAACAATTTGTGAAAAGAGACTTGCAGCCAAACTTCATAAACTGTAAAAATCGCAATTCCAGTCCTCGAAAAATCTTAAAAAGTGCAAGAGTTGTGCCAAATGAAGCCCTACTTCAACGACTAAAACAAGACGCAACTAGTACCAAATTTCACTCAATTGGCCCAACAATTCCTGCAACATAATTTTCTTTCTTCTGAAAAGGATACCAACCACAGCACCACAAGTTTATGGAATAGGACGAGTCTGCAGGCAACAAGAATACAATGGTTGCAAGAGTTTGAAATTTCACTCAACTGTCAGTCACTTGCTTCAGAAGCAACTGCACAACATCATTCGAAATCCTTGAGCACTCTGTTGATAGGTGATTGATCTTTTCGGCAGTTTCATATTCAAGGCGCTTCACATTAGCACCAGAATCTCCACTGCTCTGCTCGGCGACAGAATGAAAACATGAGGGAAAAGAAGGCATAATTGCCACAAGGTGGCAGCTTCATGAGATTAAACCACACACTGACTCTATATTTATAGTCCGTAGGTTAGTTTTCTAGAAATTGGAAGGGGCGGAAAATAGTGACATTGGCAAGTGCATTGCCAGACGTAATGAACATTCAACGTATAGCTTTCAAAAATAATAATTTACATTTAAGAAAGTTACCAAAAGAAAAATAGATTACAAATATTCTTTAATCATCTCGGCCTAAAATTTTAAGCCAAAATCATCGGAGGATAAAAGCTTGTTCTCGGTTAGGTTTTGACACACACCATTGCACATGGTCTAATATACTAAAATTGTTGAGTTTGATGGACCCAGAAGAAAGAATGGAGCAAATGGGTTTCTTGGAAGTGAAGGAAAAATGGAATGGAGCAAATGGATTCCTTGGAAGTGAAGGAAAAATGGAATGTTGGGAAGTGAGAGAAGGGGGAGAGTGCATGTTGAAGACGAAGGTTGCTGAGGGGGCACATTAACCTGAGGAGCCAGTTTGGAGGCAGAGCCAAATACATTGTATTACAATTTGAATGAAGTCGTAACGCCACGTGTGGCGGCGTTACCAGTACATCGAAAAAAATCTGGCATTGTTTTTAATGTTTAATTTAAACAGTTAAATGGCTCATGTAGATTGAAACCTAATTAATATTAGCGCATGACATTAACCCAAAGTCTCATTCATGGCATTAACCTAAACATAGAATATTCCACCAAAATAGAAGTTGAAACGACATGTGAGGAAAAACAGAAAATATTTGACATGCCCTGAAGCTCCTTAAGGAAGCTGTACAACAAAAAGAGAAAATATCACAAATCCCTATATTCTCAAGAAAATAAAAACAACACAAAAGCTAAAGCATCCATATAGCTAGATAGCGGTGGTCACTCGTCAACCAATTCCGCTGGTATCTCCATCATGTCGTGGTCAATCTCATCCTGAGCCATATCTGCAGCAACAGCACCCATAACTGCAGCCTGATGGGCCGGAAAATCCCAACAATCAACTGCTGTCAAATACCTATCTATGATATTCCACTGCAAACCTAAAATCTGATGTGTGGTCATGTATATCCCGTCAAGCCAATACTGGAATATGTGTGCAGGGAATTCAGCGAAATCCGGATAAACCTGAGCGACCATGTCGGCCTCCATTTCAAGCACATTTCCATATGTTCTAATATTCACAGTCCCTCTGCCAGACCATATGCCTCCCTCCAACACCCTAGAAAGATTGACAACCTTCCCATCCATATGCGGTAAGGCCAGCACGCTATCAGCGCTCTCGTAAAACTGCTACCATGTGAGAGCCATGGCATGCTCTGATGCCATCGCCTGAACTCCACCTTCTCCAAAATCGAGCAAATAGGTGCAAATAAAATGGTCCGGAACCAAAAAACCAGTATTAAGAAAAAGAGAGGTGTATGCTCCCCTGATGAGATGCTCGACCTCGTGCACACCACGGACTATGTCAAGATTCAGGGAGAACTGAAATCGAGGAATAAAGTTGAATGGGTTCTGCCATCCCAACATTATCCTATAGACTGAGAGTACTCGATCTATGGGCAAAACTCCTCCTCCAGCCCCTGGTCCACCTCCACCATCCCCATCACCAACTACTAGGATGATAGCTCCTCCATCCTCAACCTGATGAGATGGAGCTGGAACTGGAACTGGAACTAGAGCTAGGGCATTACCTACAACTGTGTCTAAAAGATAACCCCCTCCGCCCCCTCCAGCTCCAGGGTTGTCATAGTCATAAGGCGTATCCTGTACAACCAAATAAAGCATAATGGGAACCATCAGCAAAGTGTCAACTGGAAGAACACTAAAAGTATCAAACATAATGTGAGGAGTATATGTGAACATAAAATTGATGTAAACTGCAAGTGCATAGAACTAATAAAGTATGCGACACACCTCTGTTTGCCATTCTTCTGAAAGTTCCAACATTTGAGATTGAGCTGATCCTATGGAATGTATCTTCTCATTTTTCTTGATAAAATTTGACACATATCTGAGAGAAATGACAGGTTAGAAATATAAGAAAGGTAAGTATCAACAACTATTCAGAATCGAACAACTCAAGACATGAAATGGGAGGTTATACAGAATCGAACATCTGTAAAAATCAGCTATTGAAGTTTATTCAGTTAAGAATAAACTTTTGAGACAAGTTGTGAATATAGAATGTCAATTTACAGCGAAAAGAGTTGGAAAGAGGTTGGTAAAAATAGATCACCGAGAGCAATAGGTAAAAAAAATTTCCATCCAAGATTCAATAGTT